TTAAATTTAGTCTCGTCATTTTGGGACTTAGTTTCATTTAACAGAGAAGTAAGCAAACGCAAAAAAAGAACAAAAAAGGTCAAAAAGCACACTTCACTTTGACATGTAAACATGTATGTTTCAGCTAAGTTGAGGCWTATTCACTTAAGATATCTATTTTTAATCCTTATTTCAATAGTTACAGAAAAGGTATATGAAAGTGAATCGACGGATGCWAGTGATGAAGAGCCAATACCAGTGAAACAAGAATCTAGTCCAAACATYAACGAAGCCAAGAAAACCAGCCCTGAATCAAAGTCTAAAAAAATAACTGAAATGAAACCTGCAAAACAGGCTTCATTAATGAGCTTCTTTAAAAAGTCTTAATGGAAATTCAATTGGAGTGTATTCATTAGCCCTTGAGACATCCTGTAGAAAGTTGCTGTTTCACGGATGTAGTGAATTCATCGTCCACCAGCTCTCTATCAAATTACTAAGAAATGCCGATTTTTTCTTGCTGTAATGATGTATACTAAAATAGTGAATACTAAACGAATATAATGTGTTCAAGGGTAGTTTGGTTTGATGTTCAGCGAAAGTACTGAAAATATTTATCATGAATTACTATAATGCATTTTTTAGACGTATCACATTTCACGCTGTTTTCGATATGCCACTGTGAGTTCCCTTTCCGCTGAAACAACTCAATTGAGCTTTTATRGTAGACTATCATGGCCTCGGAACAATCGCTGCCCCGCCTGGCAACTTGATATATATGGATATTGCATTGAAATGAATCAATGAGACGTCTAGACATCTATAGATCTCGCTGAGGGAAAAATGAAAATCACTTGATGACTTGTTTTTAGAAAGGAAGGGTTTGGGTTCCCTGCTTTGGCTGTCAAAGTCAAACGAGAACTTGGCGCGATAGGCACCTGGTGAAACTTAATTATTATTCTATTATTTCTGGGTAGTATAACGATACATGCACGAGGCGATCCTCTGCCAATCTKAAAGATGTAGGGTGACCGAAAAGAGGCAAGTKTTTATGATTGGAGTACCCGCTTTAATCATAGTTAGTAACTATGCTTTAATTAGCGGCTCATTTGAAGATGACATTTCTCCTACCCAACATGCCCGGCCCACGTTCTCGGCTAYCCCATCTCCACGCAAATAGACAAAGACAAACATCAACGTATTAATATTTTCGTGAACCATAATGCAAAACACACTTCAGACTAGCTACTTATATTTTTTCGACAACTCCATTGAGCTTAACGGCTGCTGGTAAATTGTATTGCGCGATTTGCCGAGAATGGGCGAAATTGATGATTTTAAACTGGCCGGGTTCGYGCCACTCCTTGAAATCGGAAAATGAGAAAAATCGCTAAAACTACTGGAAAACTCCTTGGCATGTTGCTTGTTAGCTTTTGCCATTGAAATGTGGCTATTTTTGAAAATCGCCACTGGAAACACTCGCAAAAAATATCTTCAAAAACAGCTTGTGTAAGAACTGCAGTTCATAGCAAATTTCTTTTTAAAAACAGTCTATAACGGAAAAAAAATATATATATATAGAACAATAAAGGAACACCGGACCTTTTAAGCTTGTGTGTGTGTGTGTGGGTGGGTGGGTGGTTGGTGGAGGGGGGAGGGGGTGAGAGGGGTCTGTCCGAACCCCCTCCAGCCTACGGGTCTTAGATCAATAGCCGTTTTGCTTTACTTTTCAAGAATTGAAAGATGAGTGCGAACARGCATTACCAATTATAGTTAGCGCATTTGTTAGCTTGGACGGTGTTTCCCTGGGTTTCGAGATAACAATACGACGAAATTCCGACTCATTAGTCGAGACTAGAGTTTTCGAAGCTACCATTCGTCACCCTTAAAAAAACAGTGGGCTGACCACGTTATGGAGAGACTTTCTACGCAGGCTCTCTCTTTCCTTCYSTCMTTTTACCATACCCCTGGAAAGCCGCCAMGCCTGAAAGACGTGCTTAAAAACTTGAAAGTCGATATACTCGTGGCACAGGTCACAACGAAGTCGGAATTACGTATTTCCCGTCGTTGTTCAATGTTTCTCTGCTGTAAATCGCTAAAATTGCACGATTGCGATTATTTTCTCGCAAATCATTTAATATCACATATTATTAGAAACATGTGGATTTATAAATAGTCTATGGACTTTATGCTCTATGGTTCCGAAACTTTTCATAATAGATAATTTGATACTGCTAAGATATCTGTCAACAAACTACTTTCGAAAGTCACCATGGTCCAGGGGTAAGTGAGGTATCAGCTTACAGGCCAAGGTTGTTGGCATTGGCTCAAAACTGGACAAATGATTGCGTCTTAAAATTACGTGCACATCTTGCTAAAATAATCACTCACGCACAATGAGATATAAAGGTTTAAAAACTTTCACCTTTCATTGGGGAAATATGACGACAAAATATATGCTGATCTTGGCAAATCCATATAAAGTAATATGACGAAAATAGACTTCGATTCTTGGAAATCGAAACTTCATCGTTTTATCCAAAAGATGTGAATAATAGATGTTAAATACTGTACCTACGAGTTCAAACCTCCACAACACATTAAATTGGGTGCAAATTTTTTACTATTTTAAATAATTTTGTTCACACTTTGCATGACTCCATCCAAATCGGATTCCGAGAAGCTTGCTGTCATCAAAAAAAGATATCAAGTTTCCCCTGGTTGACGTCTCTGACGTATGGGGCTACCATTGACACCTTRTTCCTATTGGCTAACAGGCCGCACCTAATATATATAACCAATAAGATACTGAGTAGATGACATCATCTACTTTCCGCATACTACATAATAAACACAACGAATTTCGCTATCTTGCAGACAGCGCAATCAACTCCCAGCAAAGTGAAGATTGGAGAAASTTTACGAGAAAAATAGCCCATAACTCCTTCTTGTTCAATTGTCAAGCTTTTGGAATATMATTTTCAAAATGTACGCAGTTCAAAATGCAAGAATTGAGGTAAGACAAAGTTAATGAATTGTTTKTAAGTGAATTATTCGTGTAACTTTCGAATCTTTCGATCGATGTTTACTTTCAATAACTTCCTATCCTTTGACTTGTTTAGGAAAATCGTGGRGTTTTTCAAGCAAATAATCAACTAGACCTACAGAAGATAATTGTAAGTGTAAGCAAGAATCGAAAACATACTAATTTGTGCCCAAAAGTTCGAGCATACGTGCTTGGYGCGACATTGACTTTCGAAGTTCCGCATTGCTTTTCGTACCGCTTTTCGGTTGTCTCTGTTCATTTAGTTCGCCAAAATATTTTCATTTTAACAGTTAAATAGTAATATGTAATCTAATAAGTTAAATCGACTGGATCATTCGAATACAAGAGATATGAACCCATTTTTGGCCAATTTTGCCTTTTACTTTCGAGTCGAAGTCGCGCTTCAGCGCGTTTTGGCGCCCACGCATTGGGTTGTTTTTCTTCATGATTTTTTCTCGCTTTTTCCTATGTTTTGTTATTCAAAATTGTACATCTTTTATCTTTCTAGAACTGGATGAAGTGTGGCTTACTCGATACTACAAATTCCATAGATTTACAGCTCCTGCAAGGCCTTATCTGTGCGAAYGGACAAGGTGTACCGACGGCTACACCCGCAATCGGACAGAATTCATTTCCACAACAAAATCAGCAGTGGAAATGCAACCAAAGTTTCTCAAGTTCTTTCGGTAAGAACAATTGTTGCTTTTTTAGCATTGCAATTAATTTGACCTATAACTTTATTTTTTGTCTTCCTTTTAGATTCGGCCGTGTCTACGGACAGTGACTATTCGTCAGATAATGAAAGTGTATCAGAGTTTCTYGAGGGCACCACGCGTTTTGTGAATCCACCAGTKGAAATGCTCAAACAGCAAGGTAAATATTGCTAATACCTCGATCAAAGCGAAAGCCACATGTTTTTCGCTTGAATCGTGTTTCGACACGTATGAGTGACATATCTATTTTGGTTTATGACGCACAAGGTGTCAAGATGTCATTTTATACACGCCCACTTTTACTATCGACTTCCTTGTTGAGCGAAAGTGAAAAACAAGATACTCATCAATTATTCATGTTTCTTTCTAAATAGATTTGGAGCAAGAAAATTCTCTTGGATTCACTGGTGAAGAGGTGGATGAGATCTTAAATGCTTCTGGTAAGTTCAAAGTGCCAGATAGCTATTTTATAACTTGGAGAATTCAACTGATGGTTTTAATTTTTTTAATTAAAAATTAGGAATGCACCACTCCTATCCAGACTTGCATTTTTTTGATGATTTTCAAGACTCCTACCAACAACAACAGCAGCAGCAACAGCAAACACTGGGTTACATACCCATGMTACAGCCTAAAATGGAAGAATTCTCTACTGCATCCCCTTGTAGTTCTATCGCCATTGAGCCAGTACACAGCCCATGCTCTGATTCTGATTCTGAATCAGGGATTGGAATGAGCAGTGGATCTGAACCCGAGTCTCCAAATCCTGATACAAGTTCATTAGATGAAACTGCCAATGTTGTACCACTATACCCTACGAAGAGCAGAAGAAAGAGGGGGCCCAAGCCGCCTGCCAAATACAATGGCAATGGCCCAATTCAGCTATGGCAGTTCTTGCTYGAGCTCCTGCTTGATCCTAATAGCAAGAAGCTTATCAAGTGGACTCATGATGAGAAGTTTGAGTTCAAGCTGCTGAATCCACCCCATATTGCAATCATGTGGGGAAAGAGAAAGAACAAGCCTAGCATGAACTATGAGAAGTTAAGCCGTGGTCTGAGATACTATTATGACAAGCACATCATTGACAAAGTCCATGGCAAGAGGTATGTTTACAGATTTGTCTGTGATATTGAGAAAATTCTTGGTTATGACCCAACAGAGCAGAAGGCTGAGGGAACCATGGAGGATGCTGTGTGTGGAGAACCYGAAGTAGCTGACAGTAAGTCTCAGTTTATCACTCATGACCACAGTGATGATTGTCCTGTGGACAGTGCAGTAACTGACTGGGATTTCACTGCCTACTTCAATGTCAATGAACTGTAATGTTCTCGTTTTTTGGTTATAACCAGGCCCCTTATTGGGGCCATCGTTGTAAAATTACTGTTTCTGCTGTTGATGAGTCAAAATGTGATTTAGTAGAATTTGTAGGTTAGATTTTATAGATGAATAGGTTGACTGTATAAAGCTTTTGATAGATTTTCTTGGCTCATCATCAGTAGAAACTGTGATATCTTGTAGCTTGTATCAAGCAGTGTTTACTTATTGCCTCTTGAAGTGTACAGAAGCTTTTATTTACTGCTTCTTTGCACTTCAAGATGGTGTTTCAGTGTGGTGTCATTCATTTGAATGGCCTGCACTGAAGTCTCTTTTCAATATATTGTTCAGTTTGACCTAATCACCAGTTTAATTATTATAAAAGTTTTCTTCAACTGAACAAAGTCTGAAAAAGGTATAAAGTAGTTTAAAATACCATGCWCAAAGGGTATTTATCTAAACTAAGGCATTAGAATTATCCTCAAAAGTTTGATGTTCATGGAAGTTCATGAATAAAATTTAGATCATATTGGTCTGTATTCTTGCCATTATAAGGCAAACTATTTAAGTTATAATAACATATCAAAGTGGTAATACAAGTTGTAGTACATGACAGAGCATCTTTGTCATGATATAGATTTTAAAAAAGAAAAATATATTGCACATTTTATCTGAATCAATATTAAATTGTTTGTTTGCAAATTGTAGCTGAAAGGGCATTGTCCTTAAATCGTTTCATCAATAAAATATAAGAGCTTTAAGTAAAATTTATGATAATGATTTTAATTCAATTGTAGAAGTGACAATTATATTAATCATATGCCAATAAAAGTTTTAAAAACATCAAATTTGGTTGTCACTGAGTGATGAGTCAAAGTGACTCTATTTTTGTATTACCATTTCTTTATGATAGAGGGAGTTGCCTGAACAATTTAAAGGAAAGTTCAAATATTTTTATAGTTTCGAAGGAGAGAGTAGCTGCATTGGGGTGCTACAGTGGACATAAATTTTGACAAACTAATGTTCTAATTAGCATAAGTGGCTTCTTTATTTGGGCTTCCTGTGAATGACACTGATGATGCGCCAGGACTCTGAAATGAAATGCACAAAAACTTGGACCCTTCATTTAAAATGTAGTATGGGTAACAGCATTTGCAGGGAACTCGGTAAGAGGGATGGGTGCACTTCACAACGTGGAGATGTGACCCCTGCACCCACTAGCTAGATCCAACCCTGATTTGTCAACTTTGATGATCATCAAGAGATTTAGAACTTTAGCTGGAAAAGAGACCCAAAAGTTATGGAGGAAGTCCTGATGAATATATAGTCACAAGGCTAATAGTGAACAGTTCACAATGTCTGAAATATTGAGTTTCTACAGCAGAGAGGTCATAATTTCTGGTTTGCAGAGTGGATGGTATTCCTTATGACCCCCCAAACAAGCCACAGATCACTGACATTCATTGCWATTCRCCTTTACCAATACAAAATCCCGGGAACGAGGCTGCAATAAGTTTGTCATTTTCGGTCACCCTTTGTCAAATGATGGGTTTCTGAGAGTTTAAATAGAAAGGTATTTCGTATTTAGGATTAAATTTTCCTAATTGTTTTTATTTGTCCTTAATGTATGTTCTGCAATAATCAAAGTACTCTAAAAGTATTGATGTGACTGGAAATGTCGTTCAAACGTCAAAATAAGCAATGCAAAACAATTTATTCCMGATTAAAATGTAAAATCTCCTTAGCATTCTGTTTCTAGAGGAAGTAACGGGTGACGTCACATAGCCAGGTGCTTGACTCACATTTCCTCTCGACGAACTCGAAGAACAAGTCGAATGATTTCTGCCGAGTTGTGATTTTTTTCCACAAAAGTAAGGGATAATGCAGTAAATATTGGCTTCTTTGATTTTCAGAATCGAAGACTAACCCAAGTTAAGTTTTGAACGCATTTAGCATCTTATTTTGGACTTGGTTCAACGTTTCCGCCGGAAAGACGCTTCGACCACGGTGAGTTCAGTGCGCGCGAAAACTGTTCAACGGAAATGGCTACCTAGCTCCACATTTGTTGCTTTTCATCAACTGTAGTTGTAGCTCTTTTATGTATACATATTTGCTTATATATCTAATKTGCGTYGWGATCAATTTGAGGYATTTTTGCGATGGATTTTTTGGTAAGTTGGATCGAGTATGAGCGAAGGAAGTCAGCGGAACGTGACAGAAAAAGCTCATAGTAAACACTAGGAGCTCGTATTTCTGCATTCACTGTTGTTATTTTTTTTTGCAGTGAACTATTATATTGCGGGATTTGGTTTCCAAAAATTACTAAACGTACGTTTATAATTAATAATAATCTTTTTAGTTATTTTTTTTCCCTTACTTTTCAAACAATTCTGTGGATTGTTCATATTCTAGAACACCGATGTTTAATGTAGCTCGACTTCTGAACCCTTATTTTTGAATACCGTGTCAAAAGCAAATTTCTATAAAARGGTCTTTGAAGAAGCGGATGTTTGCTAGACATAGATTTTGAATTAGCATAAAATGCTTTATACATAAAATTTTGAATTGCCTATTAGTAAGCCTACATTGTTTTCTTCCTTTTATCTAAAAAAAATCGTTTATATTAAAGATAATACTACAATTTTGGGATATTTTGACTTGATCCAACAGCAGCAATGTAAAATATATATATATACATCAGTTCTTTGTCATCCAAAGAGTGGGCATGTTAAAACTGACATACAGCATAAATATAAGGGATATTACATGGCACACTAAGATACAAATAGAGAGAGAAGTGAACAAGCGAAGAAGACAGTATGCATATCTCCTATAGCCCATGTAATGTTCTGTTCATTATAAAGGAAAAAATAGGACAATTTGTACAGAGYGTCCATGTTATTTTCACATGCRAAGATCATTTCTTTTACCAAGAGATTACATAGTATTTCATCACCCTTACTTGTAGCTGGAATGCTTAATTATGAGGGTGCACCTCTACATGATAAATCCGGAGGTGTACATTGTATGAAGGCGCTTCAAAGAGTACATTCACACTATTACACTTACATATTACAAACACCTACACACTGCTGCCACCAACCGACTCATGCCTCAATAATGGAGCGCAACTTAGATTAACATTGGCTTCATCTTAATTGAGGGAGAAAAAACTCAGAGAAAGAGAAWTTTTTTTCCTGTATTCCTTTGTTGTGGCAACAACAACAAATTGGTCAGTTGTAAGGGTGATTAGCACTAAATCCACATGAAAAACTCTTATAAATCTATGCTAAATCTATGGAGTGGATAACTTCATCCACCCTTTGTACAAACAGCCCCATATCAAGTGACAGCCATATAAAGTGTACTATTTCTCCACTAGAATTCCAATAAATATTTCAYGTTAATTTGATTAGAAAACTAAAACTGAAGTGCTTTGTTGTAATAAGGTAACAATGGAGGCAGAAGATGCTGCAGCACCACCCAGTGATTATCAGCTGGTTATTATTCAAACCATGGCGACAGAAACTGTTAACCAGATAAGGTTACTAGTTGAGGAAAATGTTGGACGAAAGCTAGAGGATTTTACTTTGTATAACAATGAGGAAGAGGTGAGCATCACATTGTGATTCTGGATCATTGAATAATAGTTTTTACCTTACACAGAAGTTCATGCCAGGAAACTGCACGTTTATGTGAGATATTCTTTAAAAGTGTACAATTGTAAGGAGAAAAGTTTAAGCATCATTCTCTGAACCCCAGAGGCAATCTTCTTCCACATTTTCCTTATTTCCAGAAATACCTAGTCTCCTCGCAGCCGTTCTTAGTGGCGGGTTCCCTGTCCCCCGCCCCACAAACGGGACAGGGAGCCCGCCACTAAGAACGGCTGCGAGGAGACTAAGAAATACCTTGAGAAACATAATAAGATTACCAGTGTGTTCCCAAAGATGTTTTGTTGTTTCTTTGTAAATTTATAAATTTATTTGTAGCTTGCTAAAGACAAAACACTACAAGAACAAAATCTTGGTGATGGTGAAGTATGTCTAACTATACACTTAAAAGGTAAGTTGTTATGCAGCAGTGAAATGGTATGCTGTGTGGTCATAATTTGAATTTACTGTACATGACAAATTTTTCCAGATGCTACCAAGACAATACAAATAGTATCTAGTGCTCCAGTAAAAGCAGTAGATGAAAAAGCAGATGCAAACAAAGCCGCTAAAGAAGGTAGCTATGAACGTTGTGTATAATGTCTTATGTAATACTCTGGCACTCAAAATTCATTCATAAAGTAAAGATTAATGTCCATTGTTATCAATAAGCATTCAGTATAAGTTTATCATGTCCCTTTGGCATGCAACAAAGATAGCTTGCACCAACAACTTTCTGAATTACCCTKTACTTGCTTTAAGAAAACATTTCCTTACCTACAATAACAAGTGCAACCACATCTACAGACGAACTTGATGTTCAGAAAAACTTACCATCTGAATCTGAGGTTGTGCCAAAGAAGAGAAGAAGAACGTCAAACACCAAAGGTATCTAAGGGATTTCAATGAGAATTAGATCATCTGCACTAGTTAGTAATGCATTTTTGTTTTTTCTAAATGAAGCACAGTACATTGTTTTCTGAGTGTTATTATAAAGTGGTTTGTTTCCTAGCAACAAGTCCTACAAAGTCACCTTTGTCACCTTTAACTCAACAAGTTCCTGTCATCAGCTGTGCACCTGTAATTCCAGGTTTGGAAGTCTGTTTTATTTACTTATATATCATGCTTTGTTATAATTATATTTATCTTGTCATGGTTGGACTTGCAGTGTATAGAAACTTCTTGTCTCTTTTGGTCTCAGAGCTCTCTTGGTCATACTTTTTCTTCCTCCTGAGTCATTTGCTAGTTTTATGACAAATCAAAAAGCCAAAAATCAGGAGAAAACAATCATTCTGATAGAAACTGTCATTTGACATACAGCTATTTCTATGTAAGAAGTGTTAGGTAGTGGTTGATATAATGTATTGCTGTGTTGATATTCCAGGTACCACTGAAAATGCAGGTGATTCTACAAATCAACAAACATCTGTCATTAAAAATGGTAAACTTTTATTATGTTTGAACACAAGTACATGTATCATTAATGAAAATGTTGTTAAAAAAGGTTAAAAATACTTAAAATGTTATGAATTGAATTGAGTTTGTTTGATATATATCATTTTCTTTTTGCCAGGTGTAGAAACTGCTGTAGAAAACCCTGAAGAGGAAGATAGCAAAGCCAGGAATGCTGATGGAAAAACACCAGGAAACCGATCTGGTAACAACATTGATTTAATCTCAAGAAACAAAGCTCTTAACTTAAAACAGTGTGTGTTTGCACATTCAAATGTCATGCAGTAGTTACAAGTATAAGTTCAACTGGTGAACTAGCAGCTGGTCACAGTTCTGTTTTAATGAAAATTTATAGAAAATAAGTACTACTTTTGTAGGCTGTTAGAATAATTGAATTATACAATGGTTACAAAAACTTCCACTGTAACTTTGCAGGCAATAATGGGCAAATACAACTATGGCAGTTCCTGTTAGAACTCCTGACAGATAAAGGATGTCGCCACTTGATCATGTGGGTTGGCGAAGAAGGAGAATTCAAGCTAAATGACCCTGAACAAGTTGCACAGTTATGGGGCAGGAGGAAAAAYAAACCAGCTATGAACTATGAGAAACTCAGTCGTGCTCTAAGGTATTACTATGATGGAGACATGATTCACAAGGTCCATGGSAAGAGATTTGTGTATAAGTTTGTTTGCAACCTGAAGAACCTTCTTGGATACAGTGCAGGAGAATTRAACAAACTGGTCATGGAAGCTGCCGAATCAACAGTTGAACARTGTCCTACTTTAACAGTAGTCACATTGCAGACTTGATAATTTAAGCCGCATAAGGTTTAGTTTTGTGTTAACATACACTGGATTCTCAAGTGAATGTAGACATTCTTGCATTTTATCAGAGAGCTGATGCATTCACTTATATATTGTTAGTGATACATTCTCTTGTAACCCTAAAATATGTATTTATAGTGTGATATTTAAAGCAAAAGCCCAATATTTTAACATTATTGCAAGCTTTTACTTGATGTTGTTGCATGGTACAAGGCTACTGCACCCAAACAATGTGTTTGAAGAGCCAATGTTTGGTCGCTAACAATGTTTGTAATATCAAACACTTGTTTTTTGACCAAGGCACCTAACATGTAAGCATATGAAAAATATACATGACTGTATGTGTATGTGTTGTACACTCTTAATAATCACTAAAGGTTCTATTCCTGTAGCAATTAATAGGTGTTTTTTATCAGCAGAATAAATTTAATTAGAAATTGCTTTTACTATAATATTTTAACTTTTTTCCTGGAATATAATAATAATGTAAATAAAGATAGTGTTCATTATGATTGCGTTTCAAAATTTTATTTTAAAATTTTTGTTTGTGGAACTTTTGCTCACTTAAACAAATATTAGCCTGATATATAAAAAAATATTTTATTTTAGATTGACAAATATTAGCCTGATATATAAAAAACATTTTATTTTAGATTGATAATAATTATATATTAATAAATGTATAATATGATTTATTTAAGTGCATGTTAGAAATATGACATGATTGTATAAAAATCTTTTAAAAAGTATTTTGAAAACTGATATGAGCGGCCAGGCCAGGGTTATATATTGTTCTTACAGGTAATTGCATTGCACTAAAAGTCATATTTGGACCAGCCCAAATAATTCAGTTCAACAGATCAATCCATGACTTGTGTGTAGCTGGTACTATAAAAATAGCTTGATTGTTCACAGTCAAACAGCATACTAATGTATCTTACATGAGCTTAATCCAAAGAATAGACTGCTTTGTATGCTTTTTTTCCTAATTTGTGTGTATATTTAATTTTTATCAAGTTACCTAAAATGGTAATATTATGGTAGTTTAATAGGTAAATATTTTAAAAAAACTTCCTATTGTTGCGTAATTAGGTAATTATGAAGATAGTCCTGCATCTCTAGCCATCTGATAGAAGACTCCTTTTTTAGCAATCAATGCTGATGGTGTGTCAAACTCTACTAATGTACCTTGATCAAGGACCATAATCCTATAAAATGAACAGAATGCATCAGTCTTTAATATTGTAGGTCAGACTGTCCAATGAAAACCCAGGATTTTTTATTGTCTCTTATCCCTGTACATGTCCCAAGAGTAATAACCTTAGGGCCTCATAAAGACTGTATTTGCAAAGTAAGACCTCACTATATAAATGAGCATTCAAAATGCCAAGTCAGTATTCGACTGGGAATATTTTACATACCTGTTATAGTCCATGATTGTTTTCAGTCKGTGTGCAATAGTAAGTACAGTTCTGTCTGCAAACTCTGTCCKCACTGTCTGTTGGATKAGTTCATCTGTTTCAAGGTCAATAGCAGCTGTTGCCTCRTCTAGTATAAGAATCTTGTTTTGGCGCAGTAAGGCTCTTGCAAGGCATAGGAGTTGACATTGACCAACACTAACAATTCAACAGTTCAAGTAATCAAAAGGAGATRTTTACCATTGATATTATAAGATAGTACTACATAAATTTAATTTTATGAATAAACTGAGTATGATACCTGAGGTTCTCACCACCTTCAAGGACAAAATGTAGAAGGCCATCTTGTAGACCAGAGATGAATGATTTGAGATGGACAACTTCTAACACACGCCAAAGCTCTTCATCGTCATACTGATCAAAAGGGTCAAGATTCATACGAATAGAGCCAGAAAACAAGACAGGATCCTGTAACATGACAACAAATGTACTTAGTAATTGGATAAGTGACTTTATTGAAGTATAGGACATGCCTAATTCCAGCTATGTACAGGGTCCGTGCAGGTCCTTAAATCCTTGAAAAGTGCTTGAATTGAAAACTAGTTTTCAAGGGCACTTGAAACTCCTTGAAAATTTGAAAGTGTCAAAAAAAGTCCTTGAAAACTCCTTGAAAAAAATGGATCTCTATCACGAAGCGCTAGCGATCTCTGAATTATTCCGTTTGGCTGAAGTTTTGAGGTAAGAATGTACAATTAGCATGATTTTGATGCCCCATGAAAATAAAATTTTGGTCCTTGAAAAAGTCCTTGAAAAGTCCTTAAATTTCATTTTTGATACACTGCATGGACCCTGTATGTAGTGGTTTGAATCAAATATGTGCATTTTACAGAAAGTTCAGTGATATTATTTAGAAATGTACCTGTGGAATGATGGTAAGTCTTGATCTCAAGTCATGTAAACCAATCTTTGCAATGTCTATATTGTCAATGACAATCTTGCCCATGTTGCGCTCCAGTATACGAAACAGAGACATTGATAGMGTTGATTTCCCAGCTCCAGTACGACCTACTACTCCAACCTATATTATTTTTTAGAGAAGGTTAACATGGAACTTCCAGTTGGCTTTATCAAGCTTAAATGAGGCGATGTATTGAGCTATTTATTCATCAAGTGAATGCTTGGACATGATTATTCATGCTAGAGATAWATCTATAATAACTCACTTTTTCACCACTGACAACTTTGAATGTGAGATTTCTAAGCACAGATGGTTGTCCATCCCTGTATCTAATTCCCAGGTTTTGTACATCAATCCTGCCTTCTTGTGGCCACTCATCAGGAGGACGATAGCCTTGGATTATCCAATCAGCCTATAACACCATCAATACATTAATAATTACTATTCCTCCTCAGGCATTATTGAACCTCTAKTTAGCGACCCTATATTTAGCAGTCACACCTTCCTTTAAGTAGTCGCTTAATTTCCCACATCTCATATGTGTCTACTGAAATTGCCACTTTGTTCTCTCGCACCTCAAATCGTAAATGTAAACAGCCTTGGGATTGTCGCGGCGATTTTTCATCGCCGCAGGTTGCGGCTAAATTTCAAGCATGTTTGAAACTATGTCGATTGTTGCAGGACAATCGCGCTGCAAAAATTGCAAGCAAAAATTGCAAGTGTAAACGGGCCTTAAAACTTTATGACATAGCTAAATCAYGGCATGCTATTAAGTTGTGACCTGGTCTTCCACCATGGTGAATGCTAAATACAGGTTTGATTGACAAACCATGTCTAGGTCTGTTTTATGCCTTACCTCAGTAGGTACTTCTGTATATTCTTTGACTCTTTCAACAGCTACAGTGTTTGTTTCAAGTTCACTTGATTGACGCACCAGCCATGTCAACACACCTGTTATCTAAAATCAATTGTCATCAGTATCATGACGTCTCCATTAAATATTATTTATTTAATATTACCTGTAATGCATATGTGACTGACAATCCAACAGTACCAGGTGGCAAAGAGTCACGGTAGATGACAGCAAATATAGTAGCAAACAATAGAATGGAAGCACCAATGAATTCAAGCCTTAAACCCAGCCATCTATAGCAAATTAGACAATAGACTACAATTAACACTGCTGTGAGATCCAACATTTCTTCTTTATGGATCAGATTTTATATTGCAAACATTTCAAGGGATCTTATAAGAAATATTTTAGCCTGGCTCCATGTGCCCATTAAAATACCAGATTCCCTGAGGCTAGTAGAAGCTAAGCTAAGATCATTCCAAATCCTGGCATGAAAAATTTCAAAATTCTTACCTGTTTGTACAAATAGCAGGATAATTAGCAATTTGAGTGGCATCTACTTTGTAATAGTTGTCCAGAACAAATCGTTTTTGCTGTGCAAATGCACGGATTACCGTGGTTCCTGTGATGGTTTCATAGAAGTGACTATAAACTGGTGAACGRCTCACTGATTCAATCCTCTTCAGCTGACGTGACGTTGCTATGTATGCTCTCTGATGAATACAATTGTTAATTGTCAGAACATTCCTGGAAAAACAATAATTCAAAAGGAACTGCAGTAATGAATACTCAAGCTAGTATTACCATACCTGGATGAAAATATAAAGTATAGTAATTGGTATTGCACASGCAATAAAAACGGGAGTGGCATAGCTGATCACGACCATAGTCCCAATAGCAGAAAGGAACATCCGTGCAAACAGAAGAAATGATTTGGGAATGCCGTCATCAATCATAGCCATGTCTCTAGAGAATCGATTCAAGATTCKTCCAGTTGGTGTGGTCTCAAAGAATGACATTGGAGCATGGAGGACATTAGTGAGAAGGTTATTATGAAGTCTTCTTGAGGCCCTGGCAGTTCCACAAACCAGCAGTAAACTGCCTAATAATACAAATAYAGCCTGCCCCATTCCAAGTCCACCATAGACACCAATGAAGGTATTTCGCTGTTGAGTGGAAGTGACATTAGTTGAGCTCCACTCAGCCAACCAGATTCTTGAYGCAACAAGAAAGGCTTCAGCAAGCAACAGAGCAAAGATTATCACTGCAAAAAGCAAGATGCCCAAAGACTTGGAGTATGCTTTGAAGACAGAGTATTTTACCTGTCAAAGAAAATAAAGCAAACAGTAAACATCTTACATCTTTTTTATACAGAAAGCACAATCATTAATCAATGTTATCAAAACAATTGAATTTTGGTGCAGCTTTGTTGTAGCTGGAAGAAGGAGAACAAAAATTGTCTAGCTGCCATTGATCACAGCATAGAAAAATGTTGGATACACAAAAACCACTTGATGTGAAAATGAACCCCAATTACCCTTCCAATTTGAGACTTCTCTGTGGTCGTAATTCTGCCTTGTTCATCACAAGATTCTGATTTACTTCTGGTCAATTTAGATGTATCTTTTGCTTCTGTGCCATCTTCATCTTCATCGTCATCTCCCTCATCTTTTAGTGAAGCTAGTTTGCGAGGTTTTTTGATGTCCTCAGCTGATTCTTCTTCTAGGTTACATGGATTAGAAGCCATGTCCAAATCACCAGGACATGATACAATGTCATCTATATCATTGCTTAGTTGTTTAGGCAAAGGACTATGAGGGCGATGTGGTAAATGTTCTGCATATTCAATATTAGCTTCACTCTTTGCTTTGTTGCTGCYGAGCATCAAATGTTCCCCAGAATCTTCAGGCCTGCTTAAATGATGACAGCTTGTCACTTTTCGGGTTGTTAGGCTTACATCTTTAAACTCAGAGCTCGGAGTTTCCTTTATAATTGGGATGGCAGGTTCTGCAATCTTGTCTAATTGAGGCAAAATAGAAATCATTGCACTAGTTTAACTCTACTCATATCTATCCAAAACAAATAACTCCTTCATTYGTTCCTCCTTCATTTGTTTACGGCAAGGACAAGACAGAACCTTAGAACCTAACCTTATAGAGAGCAGCCATGAAACATCACAGCTACAGTTTAGAGGCAGTCTCAAGGGTAAATAATATATCTCTATTCTATACATTCATGAAAAATAATCATCAAGGCAGCAGTTATAACACTATGACTAAAACAAACAATTATGCATACAGCCTTKCTGAAAATTTAATAGAAAATGAATGCWGCTGTAAACTATGCTAAAGTTTGGCAGCCTATCATTGGTAGTGTCCAAAAATAATAATCAACAAATAATTGGCTTGAAAAAAGGTTTATTTTACCTTGTTTTGAAGGTTTCTGTTGTTCCTTCTGTAAGCAGCTGTTATCTGTTTTATGTGTATTTACAAACTCAGCAAAGGCTCCTTGATTAGATATCAACTCTGAATATGTACCAACCTAGATTACAATCATTATATGATACAATTATATATTCATTCAGTTTCACTATATGCCAATCACATTAAATGTATATTAAATATTATTTTTACAATAACTTAAGGTAAGTGATTAATATTAACAAAATGACAATTGTTTACTTAAATTGAATGATAAATGTATTAATCAAACACTAAAAAATGAAGTGTGAGTGAAGGAACAGGTAGATCTATTTATGAATGTAATGAAGCAATGTAATGAAATATTTATTATTGCCTGCATAGTGACCCAAGAGAGAAGAGGGAAGGAATGGAGAGGAGGAAAKAGGACAGGAGGATGAAATACAAATAAGTCACATGAACCATGCATTTATACAAGAACATGTATTTAGTTGATGAATTTGATTACCTCAGAGATTTTTCCATGCTGTAAAACAATGATTTGATCACACTGTGGTAAAAACTGAAGACTGTGTGTGACAAGAATGCGTGTCTAAAAAACAGAAATTCAGTCAAGAAAGAACTACAAGGTTTTATAGGCGTATAGTAATAACCTCCATTTCTGTTTGATATTGAGCTCTTCATTCTTATTAAAATAGCAGCAACATTACCAACTAGTATAGCTGGTGTTATCTCTTACCTTCAACTGCAAAAGTCCCCTGGGTCCTATCACTTTATCAAATAGATGTTTGCCTACATGTGAGTCAACTGCACTGAGGGGATCATCCAGTAGGTAGATATCGGTATTAAAGTACACTGCTCTGGCAAGACTCACACGCTGCTTCTGACCTCCACTTAGATTGATTCCCTTAAGACACGGTATTACACAAGGTTTTAAATCTCTCTAAATATACTATACAATACATTTACAATCTTATAGATCAAATGAATATGGAAGTTGTCTTAATTAGTTCAAATTTATTTTTAGGAAGTCAACATTTTCCAAATGATTAAGGTAAAATACAGATTGATTCCAAAAAGCAGTTGGACTTCACACACCTTTTCACCGATCTCTGTCAAATCCCCTGAGGGAAGGATTTTGAGGTCAGGTAGAAGAGCACATGCACGTATCACATCTTTGTAACGTCTGTTGTCAAGACTCTTGCCAAACAAGATGTTTTCTTGTAAAGTAGCATTCTGAATCCAAGCTTGCTGGGGTACATATGCTGTAGTTCCCTAGTGTGCAAATCATATTCATATAAATTATTTTGATGTGTTTTCTTGAAGTTGTTACTGACATGTAGTTAGGGATAGGTTATCAGAATGTCAAATAATTAAAGTCTAGGTTGGTTYCCCAGACCAGGCAATCACAATGTTTTCTTGGGCAAGATATGGATACTTCATCAGACAGTGTCTTGCTTTCCAGATGTAGAAAAGAACCTATATGTCCAAGTACCTTGAGAGACATTAAAGAGCCCACACCACTATTTAATTAAGAGAATGTCCGGCAAATGAATACCTTGACATACACAGATCCATCAAGTTTTTCAGTTTCCCCRAGAAGAGCTGCTAAAAGTGAAGACTTTCCACATCCTACTTGACCAACCACTGCYACCAGAGATCCATTTGGTATATTCATATTAATGCTATCAAAAAGAAATAGTTTATAGACAATAAATCAATAAAATTTAATAACTGAAAGGATACCTGAATAATTGAATGAGTACATGAATGGATTAAAATGACATCCATCCACTCAATACAAACTCAATACACATTCGATACACATGCAATTTCATCCACTCGATACATATTCGATCATACAAATATTCCATCCATTCGATACTTGATACAAAACCAATACAAACATGATACATATTTTACACAGCACTACTACATTATTCAGACTGATAACAGACAAGGAAAAGTAGGATCTGCATATTGAACAGTCTGTTTTCTTACATTTTTTTAAAACTCTTGAAAATGGACAACTTCTCCCGTGTGACAATTATTTTGATTGCATAATTTAGCATTAAAAGAGGCTATACTTTATTGAAAGACTTACTTTTCTAAAACTGGTTCTCCTTGTTTAGTCCAAGAAAAGGATCCATTGTCTATATGAAGAGCTTGTGTACTGACTGAAAAGGGAACAGATACACATCAAGAACTGGATGAATTATCAAACAAAATCAATAAAACCAACAAGAATTTCACTCACTATTTTGTGGCATTTCATGAAGGACATTTTGTTTATCCTTGTCTTCTAAATTAAGAAAATCTGACAGCCGAGACAAAGAYACTTGTGCCTATAGTTAAAAACAGAATAAAAGAACAATATTAATCAAGTCTGTGTAATGAAACCTGGCAACTGGATGTTTYCTAAATGCATTTTGTTTGCAGCTATTTTCCAATCCTCCCTCTCAGTTATAAAAATGCAAGCCACACAGGGGAGGGGTGGAAAACMGCTGTCAGTATATTTAACAATTAGATCTCAAGGGCAAGTGGACTACAAGCTGATAGCCCATGAGGCCGAAGGCTGAATGTGCTATCAGCTCATAGACCACGAGGCTGAGAGATCTTATTGTTTTAGTATTACCATACTAGTTGGACAAAAAATGAATGAAATGTATTAAATAACAAAATGTTTTCATTGCTAAAAATACACAAAAAGTTGTTGCTTTTTGCTAGTCGAGGAATATTGAAAATAGACCGCGAGTAGCATAGCCAATCAGAACGAAGGATTTGCAATAGTCTACTAGTATGGTTAATACTGACAGCTATAATTTATACATAGTGAATGTTTTCTTGTTTTCCTGTTACATTCTTTCTTCATTTCTCTATTTTCTTATCATTCATTTTCTCACCCTACTTTTTTGATTATTTTGCCCTTCATATCCTTTTACCTGAATGAGATTAGCAATGATTCTTGGAAATATTGATAAAGGAAAGCGGAGGATGTTAAACAATGAAATGGCAACAAATGCCTTGGTTGCTGTCAGTTCATTGCCTGTTAGGGTGTAAACAAAGAACGTTGCCATGGAAACCTAAAAATGCAGGAATTATTGTATTTAAATTAGCTCAATTTATTAGTTCATGATTATTTTAATGCATACCAAAAATTCTGATAAACATCTAACACAAAATGATGAAAGTTTATGTCAATATTCAATAATTTCTTACCAACATTGGAGTACAGAAGTTGAAGAAAAATAGAGTGACAGTCAAGTACATGCTGCGCATCATGTATGATATCTCCTTGATACGAAATCTTAGGACTTTATTTATGAATGATTCTTCCCAGGCAAACAGCTTTAATACCTAATTATTTTAATAAAAATAATTAACTTAAATTATAATTCACTCCACTAAAAGGTTGAAGTAGTAAGCAGTTTTGCTAGGATATTTAGAAATACTGAAAATCTAATTACAATATAAAAGTTCATTGTTGATTATGCACATTCAGCAAGGAGGCCTGTGTTTTTTAACAATTAACATTGCCAGTGGCCTTTCTGTTTTTCTCTCCTTTTGAGCAGTTAGAAATTCTTGGCTGTTCAGCCAGAATATCATCATGATAACTTCCAGTTAAAAGCAATCTACTCTTTACAGCCACACTATCTTTATTAACTCACTTTAATTCCACTCAACATTTCACTGATTGTTTTGACTCGGTTATCTTGCTGACCTAGCTGTTTAATCTGTGAATACAAGGCAACAAAAGGTAATAAATATATGACTTCMTACAGCTGGATCTCTCGAATCCCATAAAAACTGAACAGTCAATCCAAGTGCATTCATAATTAATTGTAATGCTTTCATTCTTTCTTAATTTCGAGTGTTACAATTGTAAAAATATCATGAACAAACACCACAATGAAGTCACAAAATTCTTCACAACCACTTATTACTAACCTGAAGCTGACGAGCAACACGACTGATAACAATGTTCAAAGGAATAAGCAATAACATCACGGCAACACCAGCTAGAGTTGATACACCCATGGCAACGTACAGAAAATAGATAGCAACACAAACTTCAAGAGGAGTGGACCATACTCTGTGAAGTGAGTTACAAAGAGTTACTATTCTTTGAGTATCGACTGACATCAAGGACAAGATTTCTCCAGCTGTGGACTTGCTTCTTGAGAAATTACTCAGCTGCAAAGTCTTAAAATCACAAAAAAGAAGTTAATAATGATGTTGTGAATAAGTCTATAATTGAACAGTGTGATTTACAGCAGAAATCGTTGCATCATGATTTCTTTGTTTTGAAGTTTGTTTGGATTTTATTTTTACCTTCGATCTGAGGGGTGGAGCTTTTCGTAAACTTGTTTAGTTATTGACTGATTTGTATCCAGCTCTGCCCCAACTCACAGAAAAACTTAAATCCCAACAATTTCTCTTGAACATTGAGGTCATGATGCAACTGCTTCTGTTGTAAAATTATAATTCTCAAAACTCTACTGCAAGCAGGCTTATTAGCCTTGAATCTATGTGTAAATTCATGGGCTATTCTCAATGCTTTCTGTCGTAGGAACAAGGCTATTGCTGTATGTACAAGAATTTTAAGAACAGTCAACTGAGGAAGGTTGGGGGTAGCAAAGCCAGCAAAGATAATGCATCACTCCAGGATAAACAAACTGATGCATGTAGAAGATAGAAAAAGTATTGCCCCTTGCAGGAAGGCTAGTTCCGCTACAGGTGACTTTAAATATTACATCTTAACAATCAATGGAGCCATCATCATGATATCATGCTTTGTAGTAAACTAGTGCCTTCCTTGTCATTAAATCCACAAGCTTAGTCTTTGGGACCCACCTTTGAGTAAACAAGACCCATCAGTGATGTGCCTACTCTCATTCCAGTAACAAATGACACATTAATGGCATGCTGGGAAAATGTGCATTCAAAGATTGCTGTTATCACCATGGCAACCACAATTACATATCCCTTCCATTCTGGACTGGACTTGTCAGTGGTATACTCTATCAGTAACCTACAAACCAGGCAACAATAAGTGTTGTTATGTTGATTTGGAAATGAAATTTTGAACCCAAGTGTAACAACAATGAATCAGATTCACTATCCCCTATTTGCATTCAACCTGACCACATTCTTCAGTAAAACTTCTTAATTTCAGTTTTATGATACTCAAATGTTTTACTTTAAATAAACTTACTTTAAAAATTGCGGCTGTGCAAACATCAAGATGTTGCTGAGGAGTTTAAATAATACACCCCAAGCAAAGTAAGGAAAGAAAACACCAATGAGTGCCTTGGATAATGAAGGCTTTTTACCATGGTGTGCTTCATGAGGCGGATTAGCATCATCATGCCCTAAGTTAAGCTGAATCTTTTCTGTGTCTGCAGGAACATTAAGCTTTTTTGTCCTAGAATTAGCAGTACAAACACAAATTATGTATCTATCTTATTCATGGCAGCACGGGTGTTGAATTGCAAAAGACGCAGCTTGATGCGCTCACTCACATCATGGAATGAGATGATGTCACAAAAATAGTATAATTTTACCTTTGACTTTTCACTTTTTCTTTCTTCCATTCTTTCTGTACTCTTGGTACTATCCTGTAGGATTGGTCTTGATGTTTCAAWGACCACAAGTCTTGTGCTTCCAAAGGCTTCTTGTATCCCTTGATTATCAAACTTAAAAAATACAAACACAAAATTATCAGCTTTTYCCATGTCTAAGACAGATGACTTAAAATAATAATAAACATAATTGCTTGAGCTCCTGACAAAAAACCTGGTAACAATTTGTATTTTAAAGTTGTATGTCAATGTCACCAAACTGTGGTTTATACAGGAACTAAAAAGGAACCAAAACAACAGATAATAATGTTGTAGAAACTTACGGATTTATCCACCAATAGATTGCTTTAGAGAGGAAATTTGCAGTCTCTTCAGGACATCTTTTCTGAAATTCACATTCAAAGAGTTATCAGGGAGTGAGATGTGAATTTCCATCATTACTACTATAATTATAATTTAATTATAAATTTATATTTCTGAGAGGCTTAAGTGTTCAAAATAAGTTTTATAAAATAATAATAATTACCGTATGAATTATTATTATAATTATGAATTGTTACTATAAATTATAACATAAAAAAAACCAGTTTGGACATATTGATCTATATTACAGTGCATGTACTTACAGTGCCAGGATGTTTAGGGTTTGGTGCATTTGGAAAGTAGTAAAGGTTGGCATCTAAGTTGATATGACATGATAACACTGTCCCTGTTATTTCTTTAATCCTTTACAACAACAAAAGTCTAATTTACACATGCAATAAGATTTAATGAATCATCCCTTGAAAGATAATAAACTTTGTTGTGCAAGAAGATACCAGTTTATGACTTACTCGTCTGTTGTAAGGTCTTTCCTAATTGGTGCAAAGCAAGCACTTGGTACATAACCCTCATCTTGACCACTTATCCCTTTAACGTACAACCACCAACTTGCATCACTCCCAACAACTTCAAAAATCTGGCCTTGACGAAATGACAACTGAAATGCTGTCTTGGGTGCCTCTAACAGTGCTTCTTCTATCTTAGGTCCTCCACCATGTATGGGGTCATAGTCACAAAGGGCTAGAATTCGAAATGTGCTTTCTTCAGTTAAGGCCATATCAGCATGATAGGGGAAGTTGTAGCTTAATTAAGTTTATAATGTTTGTGTTGGAAGAGCAGCCATATTCTGAATAGAATTGAAAATAGGATCAATAAAACTGTTTCAATAATAATATCATAATAAAAATTAATAAAAAAATTATAATCAATAATCATAATCATGAAGACATTATAGTTTCTATAGAAACCATTCAATTATGCTTAGCAGACATCTTGCACATTCTAAGCTTCAGACATACTTATGTCGGTAGGACAATAATAATTTTGTTCAATACTCATGAAATTAATACTTGAATGTTCTTATCAAAGGATGGGGTGTTTTTTTGTTTTTTTCTTTTTTCTTTTATTTCACAGGGGTACATTTCCACAAGCTAGTGTTTTCTACAAATGAACTAAACACCGACCCCCCTCTTGACAATAATTAACGAACWGTCCCTTAGTAAAGTATTATAAATAATTAGGCTACAACATAACTTTACAAGCTATAGCGCTATTTTATGGCGACGCAAATATCGTGGCGTGTTTTGATCTCGTGATTTATCAAATCAGTCCCTGGAGCAATTGGGACGGTTCCAAAACATACGCGGTCATTCGAACAGCAAGATTCTAAGACTTATTGTCACCCAAAAATAACAGTTACATAAAAGATATCATTATTATGGATAAAAAAACTTTAGATATCGACCCCAAAACGCACCTGATTAGTTCTATCAAGAAATTACAACCATTAAACCTTCGCTCATCATCCGGATGCTGCCATCCGCCATCTTGATTTMCGTGCGCAGAGCATGTTGGGTTCCGTGAGCTTTGGATCCGTTTGTTTTCCAAACGATGTTTCCCTAGATCCTCGTTTCTATTTTCAACCAGAACATGGAAAATATGACACGGAAAAGGTGGCCGTGAGGTCACCCATCCACATGTTAGTCGCTCTTTGTCTACCCCTGTGTACTACGTTAACTTGGTTTTGACGTAGCGCGAAAAGTTTAGGACTATATGTTTAGTAAAAAAAAAAGAAGAAAGAAAAAAAGGGAGAGCGATAAGGTGGCCGTGTGAGGTCACCCATCCACATGATAAGCAGATGATCGAGGGAGGAAATAGACGGACCCCAGGCTCTGATGTATACCCCTTTGCACTACTGTAACACGGTTATGACGATTTAAATTTTTGGAGGGACAGGAAGCCCGRCAATGCCGGACAGGATTCAAAGGAGATTAACTGCGTTTCACAGTTTTTCGAGTTTGTGAGTTTCTTAAGATCAAGGAAATGATTATATTTCTGTAGAATACTTAAATTACAGTTTTACTTGAACTTGAACCGCGGAAATTTTTATCTGATTTGGGGGCTAAGTAACGGGMCATCCTTCGAGAACGCCACATGAATTAGACAAATTCAGCGATTTTACTCTGGAACTGGGTATCGTTTTTAGCGTGTTTTACTCTGGAACAGGGTATCGATTTCAACGAATTTTCTCTGTAACATCAAAATCTTATAGATTTTTTTCTTTCTTTTTTCATTCTGCCTTTCACACAAATACGTAGTTATTTGCTTATTTCAATTTTTTCATTTTTATGATACTTTAGACGTTTGGTATAACACTCTTTTACAGCAAGGTTCGTCATCAAAACCAAGACATAAGACATGCAAATCACAAGGGGTTAGTTACGTTAGTTACGGCAAAAAAGAAATTATATTTTACTTGATTCAAGGAKTTCGCYGCGTCYTGTTCAACCTATACCAGGCACTCGGACATCGGCCCTGCCATGTGGGACCGTCCAAATATCCKATCACAAACAAAATAAATGTTACTCGCAAACTAATAACGATTTAAAATTGATCGACAGAAAAATGTTTCTGGTATTATAAATAAACGACCAAAAATAAAGACGGATTTTTCTAAAGCCGCTTTTACTTAGTAATATGTGTCTGTGAATGTGCCAGTAGACGACAATGTTTGTCAATCTGAATGTGAATGTGTCGCTAGAGAATGTATGTGTATGCRCATGCCTGTGAAGGTTCGAAGAACGTTCACAAACCATATAAATAGCCGACTTTAGATATTTTGGTTCGATGACTATGTACAAAAGAACGCACACGAGGCTCCGGGTAAACAATGGATAATCTTGATTTATTCTTTTATTTCCCCGGAGCCTCGTCCGCAATTCTTTTGTGCATGGTCACTGAACCAAAATATCGGCTATTCTAAACTGTTGCCCCTACGTCATGATGTGCTAACGCGGTGTACAAAGGTAGACACTTGTGACCTGTTCCTCGTCTATCTCCTCTGGCCGAAACTACCTCAGTGCTTTGCATGTGGATGGGTGACCAAGTCGACGTCACCTTTTCCGAAAGTTAGTTTTCTCCTTTCTTTTTGTCTTTTGTTTTATTTTCTCTTGTTYGTGCTGCTGTGCGTTTTGCAAAATGTTAAACAAACCAATCTATGGTTCCTTGTTTTAAATTAATTGTTTGCGTTTCGCAGGCAAGTCACGCGTCTTGCTTTGATTGCTGAAGTCSTACACTCGAYAGGCMACGAGATCGAACTTGCAATCAAAACTATTATTTTGCGACCTTCCCTTTTCTTTAGTGGACGCAGGAGAATATCGAAGAATATTTTCCAATTTGAAAAAAGCGAGCAGAGTAGCCCTGGGAACGAGGTTGATACTTTGCCGACAACGTGCACGTGGTTGTTGGTTGCACTTTGCAAGGAGTAGCTCAGTTTATGACTTAGGGATCGGCTATYTCTTMCCTGACCGGCATTGTGTTAGCTTGTATGGATTACTCGTGAATGATCTCGTTCACGTTTTTTTTATATCTTTCGTAGAATTTTTTCTTTGGTTTTTCTATTATATACTTTTTCATCTAGAAATACTTGAGTTGACTCAGTAACTGATTGGGTCTACTATGACACTTGTCTTCAMTTTGGGTTAATACTCATTAAGTATTCACTAGACACCGTCCCGGGGATGAGCGTTTTTGTGTGTTGGTGTGTGACAGTATTATGTCGGATTTCTTTTYTTAACAAGAGCATAAATTTATTACAAGGTTGAAAGGTTTTATAAATTATTATCTKAAAGTTCGCACTTTCAATCTTAATTCTGCACCACTAACGCCATCATACTGTATATCCGCCCCGAAAATTATCGCAAAATACCCCAATTATTCAATCGAGGATTATTTGGATAGCAATTTTCAAAAAAAAAAAAAAAAAAAAAAAAAAAAAAAAAAAAAAAAAAAAAAAAAAAACACACAATCCGAAGTCACCCTTTTTAGGGTACTGAGGGATGACGAGGATTATTCAGCTGAGAACACATATTTGCATACTCCCTGTTTGCAGCAGAAGAGAAAACGGCTCGTCCTCGGTCTGCGAGACACAAAAGACAGTATTTTATGATAGAGAAATAATCCATACGACAATTACACCAACCTTCCAGTCAACTTACCTCAGTCAACCAAGGAGCATAGAGTCATAGTATATCAAGTATCATTTAGATCAGGGAAGCATGCCCAGAGGAAAATTGTCATCAGTTTTTTCAAGAGATTTCTTGGACGCCTGTGCTTACAAACTATTTTTCTACAGCTATTACTCAGCTGTTGGWGCGACTCAAAGTTACTTGCCCTTATTCTTCAAACAGATTGGATTGAATGCCGTTCAGGTTGGGTTGCTGWTTAGTGTTCGTCCGTTTCTACAAACATTTGGGGCACCTTTAGCAGCTTTGCTCGCAGACAAGTATAAAATACGAAAAGCTATTGCACTTTTTGCGCTGCTGGTTTTCTTCGGAAAACATTTGGGAATATTATTGGTAGAACATCCCCGAGAGAYGTGCATGAGAGCACTTCTCAATTCAACAGAATATTCGGCGTTTAACAAAACGTTTGAGGAAAATAAGCAAAGAGTTAAGAACGTATCAAAAAAAGATCATCATATTTTTTGATTCAGAACGGTCGAGGACACCAAAATGATCAAAGTTTCCTGCCGCTTAAAAAACAGCAAATTAGCAATGAAGATGAAATCACTTTGAATAAAAACTATGCAAATCACACGGATGGTCAGGTCTTGGAGGAAAAATCTCCATATAAACAAAGATTCAATAAAGTCCGTCTCCCRCGACAACTCCAAACACTTGATGTATCTGCGAAGAACAAAACATTATTAAATCAAAATTACACAAGTGAAATTATAAGAGATGACCTTGAGAAAAATAGGTATTTCGTGTACTCGCTGGTGATTATGACCATCACAGAGTTTCTGGGATGCTCAGTGGCTACCCTTGTTGATGCAGGCATTGTCGAATTATTGAGTGAAAATAGGAATGACTATGGAAAATATCGGCTCTGGGGATCGATCGGCATTGGATCATCAGCTTTCCTCACTGGGGCAGTGATTCAAAGCAGTGCCTATTACTATTGCCAAGATCTACACAAGAAGTACTATCTCATGTTCTATATTGTATTTGGATTCGTCTTTTTCTCCTTTATCCCACTGATTTACTCAAAACATGTCTATTCTGAGGAGACGAGGGAAAATTMCAAATCGGCTGGTTCAAAATTGACAACAATTTTTTGCAGCATAAAGAACSTGACTTTCTGGATAACGGCGTTTAGTCTCGCCATCCTTGACGGCTTTCAGATGGATTTTGGACCGTGGTTTATGGATGACCTGGGCACAAGTCCTGTCGTAATTGRCATAGCAACAACCATGCATTTTACCATTAATACTGTGACGTATGCGATGTCTCCATACATCATCAATAGGTTTGGTCACATGTTTGTCTTGTCATTTGGCCTTTTTGTAGATATCGTTGTATTCATATTATTCTCGATGGTCGAGCGTTCTTGGCTTGCAGTAGTGCTGTTCTCATTGTCTGGTTTCGTACCCTCACTGACCTGGTCATGTGGAATTTCCTACGTTGCTATGGTTTCKAGCCCTTTGGGCGTTGTGACTACTGCAGAAGGTAATATTTCTTATTCATTTGAGTAAAATCACTGAGTTAATTTATCTATGAAACAATAAATTGATTARAATTCTTTTTTTGAAGGTCTCTTCCATGCCATATATAGCGGTATTGGCATTTCATTTGGTACAGTTAYAGGGGGTATTGTCATTGGAAGTCTCGGTATTCGAGCAGCTTTTCAAGTATTAGCAGGGCTGTCTGCCTTCAACCTGATCACAATGAATGTAGTTCTAYATATCGATAAGAAACTATCACAGGACTCTTCGTATGAACCCCTGAAGACTGCTGAAGATGAGTAATAGCTGACAGTCCAAGCTGTGTAACTGATAGAATAGTCAGTAAAAAAGAAAAAATATATAAGGGGATTAATAAGAACACAAATAATCATGGCACATAGAAACATGTTTCACATKTTCTTGTAGAGGCGTGATGGTCTAGTGGTTAGGGGACCGGACTCAGGTCAGGTCTGAAAGGCCCGGGATCGATTCCCAGACCGGGCGATCACGTAGGCGTTGTGTCCTTGAGCAAGATACTTTACTCTTTCACTGCCTCGTCTTCTCGGATAAGGACGTAAAGCCGGAGGTCCCGTCTGCCTTCACTCTAACCCTGTGATAAAGTGGACATAAAAGAACCACTGAGGACGTAAACAAATCTCTGGCAGTGACCACCCTCAGTGACTTACTTACTTGAACTAACTCACACTCATGATTGTAAGCCGCGTGGCTGTTAAAGTGATACTTGCATGAAAATGGCTTCATTTCAAAACTTCAAGCAATACTAATATATGACTCAATTATATCTATTAAAAACAATTGCGGGAAAATATTTGTCTTGGAATTATCCCACATCAGAGAAATTTTGATTCAAAAGATGGAAGAACAAAAGGATTGAGTAAATGACGTCATCTACTCCAACATTTTTTGCCCAAATTATTAAGGATTTGCATCAATATTTTCTTGAAATCTGTTGCTTCATGATTATTACACCCATATGGATAGGTCTATTTGATTTCCAAGTCTTTTCTAATGTTTCGCAATTTTCGTCCAAGTAGCNACACATTGCGTCTGTTCCATCTTTTTATTATTATTATCATTATCATCATTATTATTATTATTATMATTATATTATAAACAATCACAGAAAACGAAAACACATAAGAAAAAAACATACATTCTCAAGCAATCTGCACAAAACACGCATTTTTAGAGTTCTTTTCGTGGTCGCGAACACTATGGCTAAGCTTATCTGGACTCTTTCTAGTTCAAATGTCACTTATTAATAAAGATCATTTTTTAAAAAACAGCTGTAATTTCCTGTATAAGATATAAACAATTTATCAAAACACAAATGAGGAAGCATAAGGCCCGTTCTCTCGCTCCCCGCTAAGTTAAACGCTTCTTGAAATATTAATAACTTGAAAAAACTCATTTGATTTTTCGCTGATAACATCGTCTCTCTTTGACAAGGATGTTAACAGGAAAATTTGCTTAGATGATGCTGAAATACATACTTCGACTTTTGTATGAAAAGTAAAAAATTCTAAAATGAAAAAAATCTTATAAGAGTAAAAAGGTACAATAATAAAGCTAAAACTTATGATGCGTCCGAACGTTAACTTGTAATTAAGTCCGTATTTACCATAGAAAAAAATTCCGGAAAAAACACATGCAGAGAAACAAAGGAAAATATTGAAAAAGTCGTCTATAGTGATATGAAATAACATTTGCAATGGTTGGTCAATATTTTGAAAAATCGGAAGATATAGAAAAACCCGCTAATAAGTTTCTCAAAGATGTCATTCAAGACTCCCATGAGGCTCAATTGAAATACCACGCTAGTCAGTAGGAACTCACAAGTTGGGAGTTTCCGCCGGCTGCCGGTAAAGTGTGCCCTGATTGTGTGAATTGTATTTTGGAGTTTGTCGAATGCATCATCGATCGCGCATTTGTCAAAGAGAAACCAAGTTCTCAATTCTTATCAGCTTGGACGTTGACATTGCCAAATCCTAATTTTAAACAGGTTCATCCTTGAGATACGTCGACAAAAGTGTCGTCGGAAGTGCTGAATATTGTAGCAGGTGAAAATTCTACCAYTAAAAGCTTTTTTTGTAATCAGTTAGACATTTAATGYGTTTTAAAGTGCCCTTCAGCAAACTGGAATGACTACAACCAGGTTAAAARACAATTTATAATTCAACGCTTCGTGCATTCAAAGGGTCAACTCAAGGAAAGATTGAACGGGACAAATGGCCTCGAACGAGACTTGCACTGGTGCACTCGATTCACCGTCGTCGGTTATATTGATAGTCCTTAATAGTATTTCATGTATACTTTCCATTGGAGGCAATACATTTGTTCTTATAGCCATCTTTAGAACGCCCGTTTTGCGGCAGACTATCTCAAATTACTTCATTGCAAGTTTGGCTGTAGCTGATCTGTCCGTAGGCGCGATACTGAATCCCCTGTGGATTGCTAGAAGTACTCTTAACATATGGAGAAACAGCCATTACCTCTCAATTATAACTGAATTTATGAGTTTGCAAACGCTTGTTACAACGACTTATGGCTTGGCCTTGATAAGTTTTGATCGTTATATCGCCATAACAGCTGTCTTTCAGTACTTACAGATCATGACAGGCCGTCGCTGTGTCGCCGCAATTAGTTGCGTATGGGTTTTCTCCTTCTGTTTTGCGGCATTACGATTCTCCATCAGTAACCCGGTAATGTTACCTTACCTCTGGATAGCAACGTCCATTGTATGTTACACAGTTCCATTTAGTATCATTGTATACTGCTACTATAACATCTTCCGTGAAGCTCGAAGGCAAAAGATGCAAATCGAAGCGATTGAAAATAGAKGCAGCAATTTGGACAGTGCTAGAACGATTAGCTCAAATCGTAAAGCAGCTTATACAATAGGTATTATAATAGGGGTTTATCTTATATTTGCTTTACCAAGTATGRTCATTGCTGCTATACAGCTTATAACAAACGACAATTGCCTCAAGTTAAGAATCCTGAAAGTTTGGTTTTGGGGAGCACTTGTTTCGTTCTCATCCTCGGCTTGCAATCCCTGGGTATATGCAGCGAGAATGGCAGAGTTTCGACAAGCGTTTAAGGACATATGGCTCTGGATTCGCTCGGGTCTCGGATAAGGACGTCAAATCAGGGATTCCCAGYCTTCCAAGCTTCTCTCTCGTACGTAAAAGAGCCACTGATGACGCGATAAACCCTACCCAAGAACACCTTCAGTGCCTGGCCCACTAACCTATGCCTGGGAMTGACGTGATTGGCTCTGATGTTGCAGGAGCCTGGCCAAAAGGCAATGTTAATAAGATAATGAGAGTAGACCCAATAATAGCCTGCTAACAGCAGGAACGMCTGTTAGCAGGCTAACCCAATAAAGTTGTGTACAAAAAGGTAACTGGTCATAACGTGATCTTTTCATAACACTAACATGATGTTTTACAAGTAATACAGTCTATGAATTGTGACTCAAGTCCAGTTTCTCTCACTTGAAACATTATTTGGAAAATATGCATATTCTAATACTTGTCTCACATGAAACGAGGGAGCTGAAAATCAAGAAAACTTGCAAAAGAAAACTATACTGTTTCTCTGTTCTGTTGTATCCATCCTTTCGATATAGCAGTAAGTTATGCTGTTGGAATCACGTGACATCTGAAAAAACAAAACACTACATTATGCTACTTTTGTTTTGTAACCAAGGCATATTAAAAATATCATTATCATTATATTAATTATAAATATTTGTTGRTGTAAATACAAATAGATACATTGACTCACCCCAGTAGACCCCGCCCTGACCAAGTGTTAGGAGTTAGAGACAAATAGACTTGTTGTTCACCTCTCAGGACAGTAACATGCATAGGAACCTAAATAAACACAAAAGACAATGAATGACAAGTGAATATTGTTAATAACAGGCTACTTGTACAAGTCAGATATATGTCAAAATCCAATGACATGATATTGGCTTACCCCTTTACTGTGTTGTACAACAGTTGCAACATTTTTAAGCTCCTTGAAGTTTGTGCTTGACAATGAACCAAATTTTAGAATTAAATCATCTCTTTGAAGACCCTGTTTAAACAGACAAGAATGCTTTGCACATTTCCACACTCATTSAGATTTTTAGTCCTTGTGGGAACTAGTCAAACAGCATTATTCTCAATCATATGGCATTTGTAGTACGCTCTATACGTACCGCTTTTGAAGCTGGCGATTCTTCTGCGACTGAATCAACTTTAAGAAAAGGCAGCAGAATTTCATCTACAAAGTAACATGAAGTAGTTGTCATTCCTTTTTGTCATTGATTGAAATATGTCAACTATAACAAACCTTGTCTTGGTTTTTCATCTTTGATAGTTTCATTATCTCTTGATAACGCGTGTATTTTGTGCAATCCTTCTTCAATATCTTTCATTACCGACTTGTGGTCATTCTGAAGACCTAGTACACAGGAATCCCAACAACACACATGACTCAGCACATCGCTCCTAACATCGTTCAAGGAATAAAACGAAACGCTACTACAAAATAATACTTTGTCATTTGATAATTACATATTATTTTGTTTCTTGCTATTCTGACYGAATATACATCAATGTCATTGCGAGGATAGCCTTCGTTGTCAACGAGCTCGCYTTCCATTCCAACTTCTTTTTGCTGAAATGCAACAAATATCCTTCGTATAATCAATTCTATTAACAAGAGTCAGTTGTAGAATTTCTTACCGAGTTTAGAATTTCTTGGAATTCTTTTATCTCCTTTTCAATTTCATCTTTTCTCGACATCAATTCTTTCACTCGTTTCATCTCGACGTCCGCCATCTTGAATCGCAGTGAGTAAATACTCGGGCTCCCTGTGGRTCTTCAAAACGAGGCCAGCCCCTTCGAGACGGACAAACATGGCAACTAAACGCTGAAATATTACTTCAAAATTTTAACTTTATTTTGCTTTTATCGTGTTACTGGAATTCTAAAGAAAGTTATTGTATACAGGAGTGTTTGATTTGTCAGTAATGGACGGAGAAACTCGGCGAGGAGACACTGAAAGTGGTGCAATGGGTTACATGTTGACGTTAGGTGTCATGGAAGACTTGCTTGAAAAGCTCAAATTGTTGGATTATGAAACCCATTTTTGTAAAGCTCTTGGTTTCAGGACACTGAGCAGGTAGCAATCTTATTCTCTGAATGTTTAAATTATAATAATATGGCGACGGTTTTTCTTTTATTTACTTGTACAGACATTATTTTGCTTTGCCTACCAACCCTGGTGAGCAGTTCTTCACCTTCACTTCTTTGGCTGCATGGCTTCTAAATAAATGTGATCGACATATAGAGCAGCCTCAAGAGGTAGGAAATGTTGAATCTGAACTTCTTGAATCAAATTTGTAAAGTTTTGTATATTTTTTAGTATGATGATCCCAATGCCACAGTTTCAAACATYTTGGATGAAATGAAAAAATTGGTAAGTAAAAAAATAAATGGAAAACGAAAAATGTTATTGAGGATCATTGTTTTTAATAAGGAAKATTATAGTTAAATTCATGCATGAAGATCTTTTGGCTTCTATTAGATACACTAGTATTAATTCATGTACAAATGTAACATGTTTACTTGATTATAGGGACTGTCTACTGACTTTCCTCCTTCTAAACTCAAGACTGGTTCTGGTGAACAAGTGAGTATTGCTATTCAGAAGGAGTGCTTGGCTTCTTAGTTTGTAATACTATATCAAGCTTAACCCTCAGAAATTAAAACTCCTAAATCAATCACTGATGAATAAAACAGCAGTTTTGTGGTAGTGATATTTCCTGTTTTTGGTTATTTGATTTCTTCAAGGGTATCATTTAATCTTGAAATTATATTTTACTAGATTTGCTATTGCATTGATAAACTGGCTGATAAAGCCCTGGTAAACAGCAAATTTGGCTGGAAAAGGTTTGTACAACACTYGAAGTTAGTGTATATTATTTCAAGATTGAAATCACAGTGTCATGATGTCAGATGTAGCATGCATTCAGACAAACCAAACACTGCAGTTTTGGTTCACCTTCATGCAGGCTATGTAGATGTGAGGTGGTAGATGTCATCTTTTCGAATCAGCTATTGATTTATCAATGAATGATTTGATGGTCAAAATTATTATTGAAGTATTATATGTGCTATCCAAAGACCTGTCCATCCTGAGGAAGATTTTGAGGAAGAGACCATGGAAGATGATGAAGCAGAGCTGACCATGAACAAAGTTGAGGAAGAAATGGTGGTAAGGAATTTCAGACTCAAGATACTGTAAACCTTTACAGGTTTGGAGTGAAGTAATTGTCAGATTATGAAATATTCTCATAATAATTTTGAATCTGATAGATTACTTTATTATTACCAAATGAGGATACCAACATATGGACACATTATTAGTACAAACTATGAAGTTCCATATTCTTGGAAGTCAGATTTGTCAATAAAATGAAATGCAATAAAAGCCGACTCCATCCTGACCATGTGTGTTTGTAAGAAGGCATATAAATTATGGTGACTTATCTTTGTATAGGATGAAGCAGACGAAGATATTGAGGAAGATGATAGTTACTTGGATCTTACAAGACTAAAAGAACAAAGCACTGTTATGGTGATCAATTATTATTGTACAAAAAAATGCAACATTTGAATCTATAACACTTCTATTTTTATCGTACATGTATTAGGACAATGAATTATCCAAACCAGTGTCAGTAATGGAGTCCAATGTTGATGCTGCTGWATGGAAACTTGAGGTGGAAAGAGTTCTTCCCTTACTCAAGGTTCACATCAGAACAGATAACAAGGTATATTTAAGGATACTTTAGTAATGATCATTGTTTGTGTGCATGTGTTACTATGTTGGTGTTAGAGTGAAAGCACTAAAAGTATGAAAACATTTTTTTGATTTTAAATATATTGTTTTATTAGGATTGGAGAACACATTATGAACAGATGCAGCAACACAGTGATGGCATTAAAGCATCTCTGACTGAAACAAGGGTAWGAATTCCTTGAATATAAATGTTCTGTGATGTATTTTGAGGAAGGAAATCTGGTATAACTGGAAAAATGTAATGTTGTATAAAAAAGGAGAGAAACTTATATCACAAATGCTTCACCACTAACTCCTGTTGCACTCTCTAGTCTAATAGCAAGGATGAGCAASGATGGCCAGGACTATATACATGTGATTGAGTTTGTAGGCTGGTTCTCTTCCTTGCTCCAGGGGTATTTCTCTGGGTTCACTGGTTTTCCTCCCTCAGTCAAAAACTAGCTGTGAGGATAGGGAGACTTGTCGACCACACAAAGTGTCTAAGTACTAGACTAAAACATGTCTTGTTGTTTTTTGTTTTATTTTAAACCCTATCAATACATGTTTACATTTTAGGGTCATCTTGATAAACTACATCAAGAGATAAGCAGAACTCTAGAGAAGATTGCTAGTAGAGAAAAGTATGTCAACAATCAGGTAAGATAATCCTTATCATTCTGTTCTACTCTTAACTTCTGTAATTAAATCCTAGAGCGGATTTCGTATGACTGTGCAAAAAAATATGAGGTTCCGTGACCATGCCGTGTCGTGTCCGTGTTGTGATCCGTGATTTTGCACAGTCATATGAAATCCACTCTATAACGGCCATTTTTCATCTTTTGTTTTGTAGCTGGAGCATCTTTTGTTAGAGTTCAGGAGTCTGCAGGACAATTTAGCAGAGGTTTGTTGCAACTGTACATGTATGTTATCTGATATGTAGTTAGATATGGTGTATTGATAATGATATAGTTTTACTGTTTATAATTGAAGTGAAGATGATTATTGTGATTTAATAATGTTTTTTTATGATTACTTCTTATTTAGACGAAAGAGCGCTACAAGCAAGGTAGTGGTGGTGTTACTGAACTTACTAAAAACTTGGCACAGGTACATGAATGCTGAAGAAAAATAAAATGTATTGTGATATAGTTTATTTCAAAAKTGTCTTATGTTGCACGTTGGTCATGATAGTGGATGTTTTCATTCCATTTTTGTGATTGTGTAGATTGTAGAAGAACTTGAAACWGTTAAAACACAGATGGATGAACGAGGGACAAACATGACAGATGCAGGTTACTATGGGAACTTGTCCTATTTTTTCAGTATCTCTGAGTATTTTCTTTTTATTTAGTTTTGCTGTCTTCTCACCTTTTCATTTCTCATTTCTCTCTTCCACAATTTTGCGTTTTGATCTTTTATTTTGTTGTGTCTACTCTTCACTTTCTTTGTTTTTCATCCATTTCTCTTATTTTCACCCTCTAATTCCAATAACAGCTGCAGAGTTTTCTCTAGGTGTAGGCTGGAAGAGAGGTGTACRCAATATAAAAATAAAGTTATTTGAAAGTTGGATCCACACTCAACTCTCACACCCTTCTGAACTTCCCCTACACCCCCAAACATATATTTTCTCCCCTTGATKTACACTAATTTGTAACTTCATGTGATAAATCCTGTTTGATTTTATTTTGATTATTAATTCAGGGCCATTGGTAAGAATAAAGCAATCGTTAACTCGACTTAAACAAGAAGTTCAACAGATGGAAGTTCGCATAGGCGTGGTAAGTGACATTTGTTAACGTCTTATAAATACCTTCCTCATTTTTACTTTGTTGTTCTAAAACATGTCAGCCTTGGACATTATGGACACATATTTACCTATTGTTGGACTAATAATCTGTATTTGCGTGGATAATATATATATATTGTTACTAGTATGAAGAAATTTAGTTAGGCAAATGTTTTTCCTGATGTCATAACGTAATAACAAATGTAGTCAGTTACTCTTTATTTATTATAATTATTGTAAGGAAAGACATTGTATTTAACTAGTATCAATCCCTCCCTCTTTGTAGGTTGAACACTCWCTCTTGAACTCCAAGCTTCGAGATCGCAGTGCATTAAGGGAAGACATGCAGGCCACACCCAGTGACCAYACTATGGGTGTTTTTAAAGCCTATTAGTAACCCTTATGTATTATTTATGGTGYACAGCATTATGTATATAGGAAATCTCAACTGTTCGCTAATAAAATAATTCTTTCAAATAACACAGGTAGCCCAAGTTTGCTATTAGTTTTGAGATATTACACAGACCTTTCAACTTTCAATTTTTTCCATAAAATGAAATTAAATTCATTAAGGTTCCCAAGGTCTCTTCTAGTTTTTCTTCACAAGTAATTATCTGATGGCTGACAGAGTTTTTAGATTCTTCTCCTTTGCGCCTACTGTAGTCAGTGATTCCTGGTGTCAGGTCTCCTTGATGGACTCACATGGAGGTTGCCAAGGAGGTTCTATTGAACACAAATTAGGAAAAAAGCAAGGTTGGGCWGCYTGTGGGTGTAATGTAATAAAGACACCACATATATGACGAACAAGAGTTTTATTCGTATTATTATTTTTCTCTATTGTTAAAAAGAGTGATAACTTGGCTTCTCCCTGTTCTCGGCCAAGTGCTGACAACAAAATTTCTCTGAAACTTTGAGCATAATTAATTACGAAGTCGTGCTTAGTGTTTTCTAGACTGATTTTTTTATGCAGCTGATTAGAAGAGATACTGGCTTGACCTGCTAGGCAAGTCACCAATAGGCCATTTGCATGATGGTGTATCTTTAGTACAACTACCAGAGAGCCTTGCACATTTTCAATGTTATTCAGATTTTGAATCCCCTTGGAGATTAATAAAATAATTGGCACTAATTGCATTACAAATGAAAGTTGGCAAAGCATTCTGGTAGTTATAGTTAATGATAGCCTCCTCCGCAGGCATCACTAAGAATCACGGGCTTCCTGTCTTTTTGAGGAGTCAAAAGAGGGAGAATTGGGGCGAGAAAAGGGGAGCGAGTCCCTAACAGCCAAAATGACCGTTACAAAGGAAGCCCAAAGGAGGAAAAAAGAGTTGCCTGTGGAGGAGGCTAAGTTAATGACACCATAATTCAAATCGGCTATTGATATCAGAAATCAAAAACGCCGTTAATTTTCGAGGTTTTTTTAATACTCCGTTCGGTGCTTTTGCCACGGTCAACTCCTTTCCTATTGGTTTTCCTGGGTTGGGTTGAAAGKCTTCCAGTTGTGGACAGTTGACCTCCATTTTCTATTTAAACTAGACGCTCTTAGAGCGTGAAGTCAAACTATTTTGGAAAATTGAGAAAGAAAGGATATTTCTCCTGGCTCAATATTTCTAGCGTTTTGACGTCGTTGCAGTAAGTCGTCAAAAAAGACTATCGTATATAGCGTGTGAATAAACACTTTAGAATTTTGAACAGTACATTAATTAATTAAAAAAACTAGTGACAGTAATGCATCCTTGATTCCACTGTGTGCTAGGAGTAAAAAAAAATATTCTACACTATTATTTACATTCATGTATATTATCGTGTTTAAAACCTTTTACTCGTTCGCCTATATGTGCACCCCTCTTAATGTTCAAAAATAGCTAGCCCGACTTCACGCTCTAAGAGCGGACTGGACGGAATTTCAAGTCCGCGCAATTAGTTCCAGTCCAGGCGTTAGCCAAGCTCGAGGTCGCTGATATCAGTGAACTGCGCCATAGAGAGCCTGATCGTACTACGTCGGCTCCTTGTCGATGCGCGTGACACACAGAAAACGCTGATGCCACAACTGCTTATTGACAACAACTGACGTCTGCCGGTCATCTTTACCTGACTTCAACTTACCCTGTTTAGCGGGCTTGGCAGAGCGTTCCCGAGTACGCCGGTCATCGGACTCGTCTTTGGAATCACTGGAGAGGTCGAAATGCGCGACCTGTCTGTCGACCGACTGCTAGCTCTCTCATGGAACGAAGTTCAGGTAACGTAGGATGCTCAACATGTCTTGCAAGGGGCGTTGCCCCGGAGGACTGAGAAGGAATTTGTGCTCTTGGTGGACGCACCATAGCTCGGATCTCCTCGTTGTCCGAGCGGAGAGACTTGACTTCATTGGCTAAGGAGGCCACCGAGTCGACCAAAGATCTGAGAAGATTAGCGGATGCGGGAGTGGTCGAAAAATAATCAAGCTGACCGTCCTCAACTCCTTGTCCCACTACGCTCTCCAGATCGTCTAGAGGGCCCGTGCAATTCTTCCCAGGCGGACCAAAAGAATGTTCCGAGTGAAGGGTCGCGCAACCCGAACACTACTTTGGTCGTCCCATGATTCACCTTTCAAGACAAGACTGGAACACACGTGTGTCGCTACTAAAACCTAATCACTAAACTGAAACCTAATCTCTACAGCGTGTCAGTTGGCAATTAATCACTTTGACCTAATTTGGCCAAAGGGGGTTAAATAGTTCGATGCTCATTGGACTAATAGCTCATAAATTATTAATGTGTCTAAAATCCTATACTGTCACGACCTGTCAACTGTACAAGACTTTTTGTCATTGAAGTCAGCCCTTTTGAGTCAACAAGCATGTTCAAAGTTCGCGTGGTAACACCAAAAGCATTTGCCCTCAAAGACTATATGTTAAGGGTAATGGATCGAGAGAATCGGATGCCAGGGATTAACGATATCGACAATTTGTTAGCGTGCGATCCTACTGGCGTCTTTGTTGGCGAGCTGAATGGCAAACCAATAGGTTTCGTGAGTTTTCTTAAGTACACAGAAAGCTACTGTTCTGCTGGAAGTTTTTATCTAGAAAAAGAGTATCGAGGATTTGGTTATGGTAAGAAGCTATTTACCAATGGACTAAAGA